TGAACTTCTCCAAGTAAATGAAAGTGAATCCAAAGTAGATACCGAATCGAAGCGTTATACGTGTCCGAAAATTATCCGTTTCATTGAAGTGCTCCTTTGTAAACCACATTTTTTGTTTTTTGGTCTAACTTTAACACAATTAAAGCGTATGGTTTCCAAACTCGTGAACACGCAAAATATAACTGCCCATGTGAAAAACACTGATTTTCTAAATTTATCCCGCAAATACTAAATGGTTTTAAGAGTTCAAACTACAAACACATGACCTAAATATTTTTATTTTTATATAGTAGATTTCTTACAAATATCTTATTGTCATCCATACGTCATTACATATCTGTCATTATACGTCAATTGCATTGCTGTCAATTGTGTTATTCCACGTTTTATAATGACTGACGTTTCATGTCAAGTCCCACGGGAATGCTGTCGAACGGGATAAAAAGTATCCTATTGCAATTTCCTGGTTCTAAACTACCTCCCTGCCAATTTTCAGCTAAATCGGTTCAGCCGTTCTTGAGTTATAAGTGCAGTAACTAACACGACTTTCTTTTATATATATAGATATATATCCTACTGCAAAAATAAATTTAAATTCAGCTAATTATTATTATTATAGAGCTATTTATTATTTTAATTGTGTACTTTATGAACCTTCAGATTTGTTTTCGATTCAACTACGAGTATATATTCTTAGTAATTATTAGATATTACTTTAGTTAGCAATATATTAGTGAGGTAAAGAGAAAAAGGAACTTTACTGCTGATAACTATCGTAACTTTTATGGGCATAATTTAAATGGAAAATATTTTGCTATATAATTGTTATTGGAAATCCTTGGCGGATAAGATGACTATGGTAGATTATGGAAATTTACTATAAATTATATTCTACTTATTCATCTGCTTCGTATTATTTCAAAAGTTTGTAGGTCGTACCGTGACCACACTCGTTACAATTTTATAATATATACAATATAAATAACGTAAGTAAGTCAGTGACAAAATAATGAAATCGTTAGCAGTAGAAAAAAAATAAGACTTGTTGACAAACACTCTCGTCTAGCCGTGCTTATGGTAATTGCAAACTATCGCGTAAAATATGAAAATAAAAATATAACAACACTTTACTCATACTGATACATATTTCATGCCATTATTAAAGATTTTCCTTCTTCCTAATTTCTTAAAGCAAATAAAAAGATGAATGTAAAAAATTAATATAAACTTAATTGAATACCATCAATATAATTAATTGGATATAACATAAGATCGTTTTCTTTGAAGTACAGAAGTTAATAATTGCAAAAGTTATACAAAGGGTCGCGTATAAGTTTCTTAAGGCTTGTTTATTAGTTCTGAGGCTGGGGTGTTGAAAGCAAGAATCGTGAAATATTTTAATAAAATTATGTGTATAGTAGATTTCTTTAAAAACAACCAAAACTTATCGAGACAATGAAGTTGATGGTCCTTTTATTTGACATAATATTTTAATGACATATAGTCATGAAAAATTCGTGAATAATATTAATTATTCAATTAGTATTCAACCATAAGTAAATCGTACAGCATTAAAGCGAATTTTAACAATTATCATTATATCGGTCTGTTCTTACCAAGATATCTAACCAATTAATTAGCTAATTAACAAAATAAAAGAGGTATTTCGTTTTTAGGTTAACTTTAAGCATACCACAGAACCCGCAATCACTGTCACTATAGTCCCATGGAGTAATTATTTGACTGTCTCTAAAAGCAATGTATTAAGAAGAAATAACGAGGTTGTGGTCCCTTGAATTGCTGGCAATTATAGACCTCACAAGAAAAAAAATATTTATTCACTTTATTTTATGGATTGTTATTATTTGAACCATTATTTGAGCGAAATTATTTAATGATCATCTAGAATATATATAACTGTTCCATTTATACATAGTATGGATTAAATTGGTCAAATTACTCTATGAGGTTAATATTCATATCATCGCTTTGCTGTTTCGAAGCAGGTTAAAGCTTTATAATCTACAATATTGCAGTTCAATGGCTGCCTTAACAAGCAGGAACTCAATTGGTCTTTAATGATTGTTCAATTATCTAAATCTACGGAAGCTGGAGATACGAAATGTCCGACCGTAAACGTTATAGTTTGCGTAAATGAGTTTAGCGAATGATGATCGATTTATTTCCTGGACCCTGATGGCGAATTATTATGAATGACCATTATTATGGTCATTTTATAGCGTTATCTTTGAAATAAATGATAAATGTTTCAGTTGAATACATAGAAAGTAACCTAGATGTTATGGACACTAAAATATTGAGTTTAGTCCCTATAATCAACTACTATTAATTATGGTTAATGTATTACTCTTATTCCAAATGTTAATTATAACTTTCGTAAAGATTTAAGGCCTCCAAAAATTATTGTTTGATGATAAAAAACAGATTTGATTTATTATATTTCATTTTGTTGTATTCTACTATTGTTTCATATAATATGCTAATATTAATTATGCAATTATAAACATTAAATACATTGTTTCTTATCTCCATTCTGATCGACATTCCAAAACAAAGTGGTCTATTCCTTTTGTTTTAATTGATTATTGATTAAAATGAGATTTTATTGTAACTCTGCACAAGTATTTTTCAATATACTTACTATTAAATAAAATTACATAAAAATATTTTGTAACGAGTTTAATACCACAAAAAAAATGTTTAATAAAGCCATTATATGCATTTTCTATTAATTAAAACAAAACTGAATACGTACTTATGAAGAATTTATAGGTTTTTATAAAATATGGCACATGTATTTAAAAAATGTGTATAAATATATATTTGTGGGCTCGAATGGACAAAATAATTTTCTACTTCCATCTTTCTAAGATTGCTTTTTACATAATCATTAAATGAAATGACTCGAGCAAAACTTTTATTTCAAATGTGATGATTAATTTGTGTTATATTTGATACAATTATAGAATTTTTACACCATCTTAACAATGAACATTTATAAATTTATGGCCTTTAATAAAAATTCAAATCATAAAAATTTATTATTATATCTTTAATCCTAATGATTACATGTATAAAACGACTATTAAGAAGATTTTGCAAATGCAAATTTAATCATTAAAATAATCAAATGTTTTAAAGCTGATTTCCGACCAAAGAATATAAGCAAAAGGCAACAAAATAACAAATTCAACACACACGTATGCTTCATTAATTATTTTGACACAACACACGTGTCATGAATATTCATTATACATAAAAAATAAATCTATACTTAAAATATAAATTTTATTGAGGAGTTTTGAGGGGCGCTTTTTCGATGTTATAAAAAGCAATTACTGGGAATTAATTACTGTTACAAGAATCGATTATCTCGAAAATAATCAATTGTTTCAAATTTTATAGGTGATTCCAGAGACAGATACCAATGAACTGGAAGTATTGCGTATTAAGTTTAATTATTGTGTAAAAACTTTAAATTATAAAATTTTAAAAGGTATGTTTTAAAGACATTGCTTAATTAACTTGAAATTTTAATTCATTAGAAAATAAAGTATTTTATAACTATGTATTGAAAATAAAACAAGAATATTTTATAGGGATTATATTTCATATATTAAAATTCATTTTACCACACACGACTGAGATTATGAGTATGTAATGAATTGTGTGAGCATTATTTTAAATTAAAACATCATAATAATACAGTGGAGGAAGTAAGAGATGGGATGAAATTTGATATTACTCGCTCCATCTTTGATTAAATATGTATATGAATAACAACTTATGTTTTTCCACATCACAATGAGCTGTTTGGTAATTAAAATTAAACTTGAACATTCAAAAGCCTTCATAAAAGCATACTTTAACAAGCAAATCCTTTTTGTTAAATATTGGATTTATAATTAGACAAGCTTATTACAAACATTATGCGCCTAGTTTGTGTTGCATTATTTTTACTCGACAATAATTAAAATATAAATATCAAATCCATAAAATGAAATTAAAAGTTTTATATAAAATTATACTCACCAAATATTTATATGTGATATGATTACTGAATTTCAGCAAACCAATACCGAACCGCATTTGCTTATGTGAGCAGTTAATCAACCGCAACCATTTTGATAGTATGAGGTTTATCGGACGATTGCATGTCGATTGATAGATAATATTAGCAAAGCAAGTGCAATTTTCCGTTACCTTAATTTTAGAACAGGGTGTTTACAAATGTAATGACTATGGTCTGACTCCTCATTAATAAGATAATTATAACTCGGAAAATAATTTCACTAACTAATTTTAAAATTCTATTTTAATACAAATTATAGGCAAAATAAACATTTTAATGTATTTTTTAATATATGTTATGATATGTCTTAAAAATTTTCCATAAAAAATTTAATTTATAGCAATTTGAAGAAGTAATATTTCCAGGAAACGTCTTTGAAACTAGAAAATGGTCCTGCTAAATTGGGCAGGACTTACAACATAGAAAGGGTTATACATTTTAGAATAGCATTTTACGAAATCTAAGAAATTTTCTGTGTCAAGAGCCCGAGAGCATAATGACTGCAGCTATGAGGCTGCCGTACCAATAATGAAACTTAATTTTAAAAGAACCACAATAGAAGCAATATATTTAACAAGTACATATATCATATTATTAAAAATATATTTGTAAATTTGAAACCTAGTTCCGTTGATAATAAACATTTTAACATTAATAAATAATTTTTTTTTTTTTACTGTTTCCTTTAAACAAAAAACAGAAAAAAACAATGTTAAATTGGAATTTTACTTATTGTGAGTACACGAGGGAAAAATGTTTTGTCATATACATTTGCAAACTTTTAAGGCTTCTAGCTCTTACAAGAAAACCGCAAAAGGCAATTCTAATGTAATTTATTAATTTTATGACACTTCTAGAGCGTTAAGTAAAACAAAATATTTGCTTTGTGGTTTAGGACTCAAGTACATTATAAAGGAATATTTGCTGTCTTTTGTAAATTCTCATTTCCGGCCGAACTTCTTTGACTACCACCTGGTGAATTTTCAAAAGCTTGATCTTGAGGTGAAGGTGGTATAGGATTCTCTGAAGTGTTTCTTGAAAGCACCCCCGGATTCTGTGAACCCATATCCAATTGATTTGCTGTAGTTTCTTGCAGATTCCTATTATTCAAGTTTGCATTGTTTTGACTTCCAGTATTCTGATTAACATTACTTCTAAATGCAAGCTCAGACATTTCCCTGAAGATACTCTCTGAAAACGGGTTTGGTCTCTGTGGATACGTCTGAGGCTTCTTTCTGTTTTCTTCTAACGCTGACCAGTTAAGGAGCCAGAAGGGTTGTTTGTCTTGTGGAAATTGACCTAAACGGTTTACAAGCCCTCTGTCTCCCAAAGCTTCTATAGGTAAACGCTGAGTAGTTGTGGTTTCCCCGAACCTATTACCAAAAAATATATTATCTAAGTTTAAATTACAAGCGTTACATTATTAAATTCGTTATAGACTAAAAAAAGTTTAATTTATATTTAAAAACAAAGTAACATGAATTTTAGCTTAACAACTGTCTAGGACTTCAAAACAACTATGAATATTATTAAGTTCTATGACCTGTTCCCCAAAGTGCTCGCTAAAGTTGTAGTCTCTATGACGGGGAAGCCTATAGGACGTAGACCAGCATAGGGTGACCTTTGGCTTACACAGCCAACAATAAAGGCTGAGACCAAGATAAAATGCTTGGGTTTCATGATGATGACTGACTCTGGAAAAAAAGACTAATTAATAAACTTTTATAAAACGTTTTCTTCATAGGGTCCAAGTTGGCGGTTTTAGTTCTTGTAATTTATTGTCAAATTAATTTTGTTTCTAACTTTTAGCCAAAAATGAAATAAAAAAGAAATGCAATTTAAAGGGTACTGGTCTGTGCGTTTTCTTTGTGACAGTTTTTAAGAAGATTTGTAATTTTGATCTTGAAGCATCCCACACTTTTATTAATTACATTAAATAAACTGAGAACCTTATGAAAATAAAAGCATAATATAGAAATAACATAGTATTAATAATTTTGAACTGAAATTTGAAATTTTAGTTATTATGTTTGTGTTTCTTCGAAAATACTTTGTATCGGTTTGAGTACAATATTTTAAGCAACAGATAATACGCAATTAATTACTAGCCTATAAAATATAGTTTCATTTTGAAGCCTCGAAGAATAGAAAGCAACTTAAAAGAGAAAAAACAATTGAATGCCATATTATTGCTTAATATGTAAAATATAAAAAAGACTACTAATAAAAAAACTGCGAATACAATAAACTGCAGCCTCAAATGGAAATTTTAACCGCTTTCTATAAATCAACAAATTTATTTGAATTATTAAAAAAGTAACAGAATTATTTTTTGACTTTACGATACCTTTTAAGTTTTAATGAAATTATGTAGACAATAACAAATATAAATAGATACATGTTATATCTCATATTTTTATAAAATTGAGGGAAATTATTGTTTTTTTTCATTTAGATTCTGTTAATTTTAACAACTTTCTCATATTTTTTAAACGGTTGTAAGTAAAACTGAGTCAGATTTATTGTTCATCTTTTTAATATTTCTAAACCCTTGTCCGAATGATTTCAACATCTTTTGAATATTAACTACTTATTACTTTAGGACAGATAGTTTATAAAAGTTAAGTTGAATTTATGTGTATATTTCGAAAAAAAAAAACAACAATTAAATCTAGCAATGATTTTCATTGGTTACTGCAACACTAATCTTAATAGAATTTTAAAATCCAATTTATTCATGTTAATAATAAAATTACAGTTTCCACTTTATATTCACGGTCTTTCCCTTATAGGATATAAATTTTTACTTTCATATGTCCTGTGTAAAATTTTGTTGTAAAAAGAAATTATACATATTATGATATATTTACACGACACCTAATAATTATGTCCATGACATCATAATTGCTATATCGAACTACTTTTTTTGTTAATAATAAAGATTTTAATTGAAACTTATCAACAACTCACTTTTTTAGAAGAAACAAGGCTTCATCGGAATATATTTATATTTATGTTGTGATATATAATATAATTTTATTTAATGAAGATATCGATAAAATGTATTAACATTTCTTCTTCTTCTACCTGGCAATTTCCCAGCTACAGCCAGGGTCTGCCTTACATGTTGTGAATAGTTTTTGGCTAATTGTTTTTACGACCGGCCGCCTGCCTGACATCAACCCTCTTTTGGGAATCAACATTAATCAGTGATGTCTAAATACTATTAGAAAGTACATATGATTCGGAAAAATCACATTGGTACTTGTCCGGGTCAGGATCGAGCCCGCGCCCTCGGTGACGAGAGGCGGGCCCTTTAACCACTGAGCCACCACTGACTTAAAATGTATTAACATTATAATATTTAAATGAAGAAAAACAAATTATATAAACCATATTTATACAGAATGTTAACAATATAAATGTTTTAAAAGCAATACTTACAATTCAAATAACAATTTTTATTTAAATCCTTAAAATCAGTTAAAGCTTATCACAAAAACTTTTAAAATTAAACCTTTTAATATTTTTGCGAAATATTTTTGTAATAAGTGTTAATTCTTTGAGATGAGTAAATATACTGACAGAAGAGAAGCAACATTTAATATAAATGTATATTAATTATAAACAATCAGAAAGAGATAGCAGCTTATTATAAGCAGGTTGGAAAGAGAAAAACAAAAATTTACTCTCAGGTAACTGCGTCACCTGGCAGTGGAAGATGGGTTTCCCCAGATGGGGACATTTTTATGGGCTTTGAAGGAAATTTTAGACATATCCATATGAATTATTGGCAAAAAATGCTAAAATTTATATTTTTAGCAAGCCATCTTTTTCACTTTCTGTAGTTTAAAGTTGTCTATTGAACTCTTATTTTTTATTTTTTTCTTTGTTGATTGATATAGAAAAATGTAAAATATGTACATACAGGAAACAATTTTATATTAATAAAAGTAATTTTTTTTTTGTCTTTCATCTTTAATTAGAACTGTTACAAATTGTGGAGAAGAATCTACAAATACTATCATGTATGAATATATTTTCTTATTTGGTCTTAAGGAAATATAAAATCCCCGATGAGACCTCATAAATGTCTGTTATTAGTTATATTAAGGATAAAACATTAAATGACAAATAAAGACAAGTACAGCATTAAAAAATATTTAAATTATTTTATTGATATCTTTAAAAAATTGTGTAATTAATAAATAAACAAAGTCCCACATCTCTATAAGTATGATACGATACCACATAATCCTTTTTTTTTCCTCGATCATTTAGTTTTAATAGGCATTTAGACAGTTGTTTTTCCTCTTAAGTAAATAAGATTAAATTAGATCACCAGACAATTTTTATCAGAGTACGACTCATAGGATATGATCTACATATATTAGTACGAATATAATATATAATAACATATGGTTACAGTTACAGATCTAAAACATAAACTAAAATAACGTAGTTTGCTTTAAAGTTTTATTTAAAGTTTAAGACTCTATTGCGAGATCCCTTTGTTCTCCGTATAAGGACGAAGCAAAACGCTTCTTCTTTTCTTATGCGCTCAGCAACGAATTGGAATACTTTGTCTGGCTCTGAGTACCATCTCACTTCAATTTGGTGGTCTTAAATTCTATTGAGGTAGTGCTCTTAAATTCTAAGGCTACATCTTCTTACTACGTACCATAAGGTGGGATGATAGCTAGGCAATATAAAGTTCTACAAATTAAAATTCTCGCATTATTTTAAATACGGAAATTTTTAGGCAAAAATGTTTATTATGCAATAATGAAAACAATACAAATACTTTTTAAATTATACTTAAGATAAATCATGATTTATGTTGTAATATTGAAGGAGGCAAAGTTTTAAAACGTTTTCAAATATTAATAACGAAAGGAAAAAGTGAAAGTGCCTTTTTCTTCCTTCGGTTTCTTGATAATTTTAACTGACATGTACATTTGAGATATCTTCCTTATTAAAAAAAATATATTTACTTCCTCATTACAAAAATAATATTATACATACATATGTTTTATCTTAATCTTATAATACTATCTTTAATCTTCTATGTAAACGGTAAATTGAACCATCAGTAATTTGATGGTGCATACGATTTGTACAAACATTTCTGTTCAACAGTCTGCTGTTGACATTTCTATCACAACTTATTTTCATCTTTTCAGTTCGCAAAAGGCATTGGTAGTTTCAATTTTCTTAACAATCATTTAGGTTCCTTTAACATTCTCATACTACGTTAGATGTTCAGAAAATTTGCTAATCATATATATTGCTAATCGTATTATATTAAAATATACATGTATGTTTCATTAATTAGAATTTGATAATTAAAGGCAATGTAAAATTCAGAATGAGAGATTAGAACAGATTTATCTCATCTCATATATATTCTTAAATTCTTTCTCATAGAACCTATTAACTCTAAAGTCTAATATTTGAAAATAAATGTATTTTTTCTAGCAATGAAAACATTTACTTCAAGACTTTATAAAGTCTTTAAATCGCATGAACTTTATTTTCTTTTTCTTACAGTTGAAAGATAAACTTTGGTTTAATAGTAAATGCACTTCTTATTTTTTTCTAAAAAAAAACATGGGCTGCTACTATGAGTTATATTATTTAACTTCGCCATCAAAGTTCAACTTCAACTTCTATTGCTCTTTAATTATACTTAATCCCTGTTTTGGAAATTGATTTATATATAGTGCACAGCATCATTACTATAGTATGAAAAATCTCGGTACGTTTTTCAATACTACAATATAATGTTAATAATAGAATAGTATATTTTTCTTTCAAAAGAAACACCTTTACATTATTTTTTATTTTTATTCAAACATTGTAAAATTAAAAACATTTTGCAAAACTTTTTCATTTTATATATTTTTTTTCCTTTTAACAAAAGTTAAAATAAAATAAAATAACAAGTCCTTCTGATACTGATTTGCTAGCAATCTTATGATATTATGTTAAGAATTATATTTTCAATAGCGCGTTTAAAAGAATATGTACTTAAGTCTAAAGTTCCTAGATATAATTTGTATAAAGTTTTGGTAGTATCTATTTTTTTGTAACGATTCTTTAGTAGTACTGTGTAGGGTTGTGAAATGTTTTATTTGTTATAATAATAATCTAAATGTAACACGTACATACGTCACCACTTATTTTATAAGCAAGTCTTGTAAATAAGACTTTAGATTGACCGAATTTTTGAGCAACACAAATGTATTTTTTTACGTTAAAAGTTACTTTTATCTTGTATTTCATTTAAATTACTCTCCAACATCTTATTTTCATCATATAAACGTCAAGTAAAATATTGAATAAAAATTAAAATTTTAAACATCATGACATTATTAAGAAATTAATATTATTGGCAATGTGTTGACGCTACTTATAATGAATAAATACTGCATACAAAGGTTATTGCTATAGTATAACTTTAAAATAGCAAGAATCCTAAATAATACTCAAGCAAAATATATTTCAACTTCTATTTGTTCGTTAAATGTTTATCATGCAGGAATGCCTAAACAGTATGTTGTAAAGTTTGTAAATACCTTATATACAAATACATTAAACCCAACTGATATCCGAGAATGACTGTTATATTTAGTTTATATGACTTCTAATTTATACCATTTATACAATATTTCATAAAGGAGAATACCGGGTGCGCAAACAAGTCTATTTATTTTTCTTTAAGGTTTTTTAATGATGAAAAAGACAATCTTCTCCTTTATTTTAACCATACACCTCGTTGTTGTTTATTTTTGACATTCAGTTATTTAATATAAATTCAACATATATTTTTGACACGCTTATATTAGTTTGGGTTGTATTTATACAGGGTGACTGGTGAATTACTATCAATATTTAAGGAGAATACTCAGTACATGATTCTCATTCCAATTATGTAAAAAAAATAGACACTTAATTTTTGACAAAATTTCCGTATAAATAAATAAAGTGTTGACACGTTCCAAGTGTTCCAAGTGTGAACGCGTGCGGCGGCGTGCTGATACAACACTACGCCGCCGCACGCGTATGTGTGTGTGAGTGTATACCTAATCTGTAAGGTGTGCACACGATGTGTAATTAATTACATAACTTTTGGTTAACTTTAATTAGAAGTTTATTAATATTTATGTTATTTTAATTTTTATTTTGTCATATATGATCGTCAAATATCACGTCCTCAAGTATCGATAGTAATTCACCAGTCACCCTGTATATGTAACGGAATCTTTTTTTAGCACGATTTTCATCGGTTTCTAAACATCTGATTAATTAATCTGATTAACTAATTTCCCATTATTATTCTCCGCCAGGATTAATATATTCTTTTCATAGATCCTCTATGAGAGTTAAAAGGACAGAGAAAGTGTACGATCAGCTCATGCCCATGAAAAACTAATTGATTAATCGTACGTAAAAAATATAAAATAAATATTAGTTACAAGCGTGTTTTTTAGTTTTTTTGAACTAATAATATTTAATTTCAAGTATAAATTATTCGTGATTATGACCATGGGTGCGTTTGCACACATTAATAATTAATTAATTAACCACATAAAATTTATTACTTAGGAAATTGATAAGAATTTTACTTCAAGACTTTAGATCAACATAGATAGAAAAGTAGTAATTTTTACGAGAACATTGAAGGCAAAAATATCTATAATATTATTATTATTATACTCGTAACATAATGTTTGGCAAATAACCTTATGAAAGCAAACATATTTTGCATAAATTTTTTTATTATAAAAATTAACAAGCGACCTTCTTATTTCGCCTGTATGATATTCGTAAATTGGATGTGATCCAGTATGATCCCGAAAAAATATTTGTTTGATCATTAGTAACTGATCCTGCGAAATTGACAAAATTGAGTTTTTATATTTTTACAAAGAAATATTTATTATATTTTACCCTTTACGTTATATTCAAATATTTATTTTATATTATATGTGTAATAAAGGACAAAACATAATGCAAATGGTATGATTGGATAGTTATAGTAGCATATTATGGTACAATTAGTAATTTTATCAGCACAATTTTTTGCTGTAAGATGGCTTTAATAAAACTTGTAGCTTTACAGTTGCTTAAAAGATTATAAAAGAGCTTCAAGTTTTCAAAGAAAAATTAAAGAAAAATTGATTGTATTGCGTAAATTTGCTAGATAATATTGTATATAAATCTTATATATATTTTCTAAGCAATTACTCTCTATCAATGGTCTTTAATTAATCAATTTGGGCTTAACAATAACTATTAGCTATTACCGAGAGTTCTCGTCACTCAAATGGTAGCAACGTTGTCGAGTAGCATCTACCTATGGGGCCAGCAAGGTTAGTTTCATACTTCCATCAATTTAAAAATGATCGTCAATCCTTTAAAGTTGACTAAATCTAATTTACTATTCTGTTCATTGCCAAGAAAAGTATTTAACGGGAGTCTAAATTGTTCGAGTATGTCCTTGACAATGAGCTCACGGTGAACCTTAATGTTACACGATTTATTAAGACCAAGTATAAGACCAGTAGCAATAAATCTGTTAGATACTAAAAAGTACAGCAGCACTTAACGATGAGACTGCTTCTCTGTCTACGCAAAGCATAAGTGTGGTGCTATGTGAAATACTTCTTGTACATAATATTTAGAGCAAATGCTGCAAAATGTCACCTAATGGCTGTGAATTTTGTAGAGAAATGTGCAATAAGTCTTAACAATAAGCGCAATTAAGTTGAGACCAATGTAATCTGCCTTCTATCACTTCAAATTTTGATGTTTTCAAGAGTACAAGAAATAACCTATATTCTGGATATAACGTAGGTAGTACTTTTACCACTTTCTTCTTGTTTTCAAATACTTAGACTAGGGATTATTTTTAAGCAATACCCATAAGAAACAAAAAAATTTATAAAAATACAGGAAAAATCTTTAGTTGTCTGCAAATGGATATCACGAATGCTTAAGACAGTCAAATGTGCGGGAGCCTCCTCAATAATGCCAGGATCGCATTTGCAATCCATCGAAGGTAGTAGATATTTAAAAAATGACAAGAGAATGAGAGGCTTGTCCGTTTGAAGTAAATATAAAAAATATAATGACTCTACAACGGCTCACTATTGCCGATGCTATTGCTCAAGAGAGATCCATAAAACCATTTTCTTATTATAATTAAAATGCTTGATAAAAAATAAAACAATACTTGCTATTAAAAATTACTTATTAAAAAGATCCTTATAAAATATTAAAAGATTTGGATGTACACGGGTGCAAAAAGATTTCTTTCTGAATATTTTTTGCAGAATAGATAAACAAACGTCATTGATACTGTTTTTGGACATGAGCCAGTAATAAAAACAATAACAATTTTATTAAAGTACGCAGATGTTGAAAACAAGACAATGTAGGCATTCGGTGGTTAATCAGGTTTTTATGAAAAGCTGGATAGCTAGAAAAATATACGGAAAATTTAATTTATTATACAATAAAATATGTAATGTAAATTGAGACTGTAACTCTATAATAGTTGGTATTTATCCATATGCTGTATGAAGTATTAACATTTTATAACAGGGATTTCTCAAAGAAAAAACTTAGAATTTACTATATTATAAAACAGTACAATTTTAACCCAAAGTACTTGGCGTTTTCTTTTAAAATTAAAAAAATATTAAAACTCTTAAGAAAATTGCTATAAAACTTTGTATGTTATAAAATAATTTTGCAGATTGCAGGAACAAACATTTAAAGAAATTAAAAACTTCCAAGTTAAAATTTTATTTCAGAAAAGTATTAATTGCATAAGGCGACGGACAAGTTTTTTTTAATCATTAAAATATGCTTTTAAGAAATACATATTTTGAATTGATAATTTACTTACGGTCTTAAAAATCTTGCTTACTGAGGGTTTTTTTTCTTAAAGATCTTTCTTTTCTTCATCACTACATCTTCATCATCTACACGAACTTCTAAATGATAGTAATTATAACTTTAAAACTGTATTTATGAGTTTGTGACTGACTATCTCAATAATTGACAAAATATATATATTGTAATATTAATCTTTATTCTTTTAACATCAAAGATACTTATTGAGAAACATGATCAAGGGATACTTATTTTATAAAATCAGTTTCAGCAATTTAATAATTAGGCCTGTCCATGATAAAAATGTTCTGCTTAAGAAAATATGTTTAGAACCAACTTTACAGCTAAAAATAATGTAATTTATTGGTGAACAAATTATATGGTAAGGCTAGGAGGAAAGTAGTGTAATAATGGTGGATATAGAATTTGTAAATGGTATAAAAATATGGTTATTAATTATTCATTTGAGTGAATAGAATTGAAATAAATTCTTCTATTACCCCTGTTTAGAACCAGAGAAAGAAAAATGATGAAATTTATTGAAGAAATCTCATTGTAATGAAAGTGTAGTACTTGTTATCATATAATCATGGAAAAACAACACAATTCAATGTTTAAATAGAATCAAATACATATATGAATAAGTGATCTCAATATTTTATTTTCATAAGCATTTGTTTTTTAAATATGACAGTACATAATGGTTTGCATTGCATTACTCTTTTTGTTACGTAAATAAAATAGTTCAATTGATATAATGAGTATTCGGTAATTAATAATGGCAGTGTAAATTTCTGTATATGAAATGAAATTAATTAACATAGCTATTGCCTGTCATACGGTATAAAAAATTAATTTTCATTTTGTATTGGTCGTATCGGGGTTTAATTTTATTATGTATGTAACTCAGAGGTTCTCTTGAGGCAAATGTGATTGTGAACGTAATTGCTTTTATATATGTGTATCTTACTAAGAAAATTTAATTATACATGGGTAATATTACTTGATTTTCTACTATATAGCAAGAAATATTACTGCTCTTACTTAAAAAAACAACTTTGGTTTTGAAAAATCTTGCTTGTAGCCAGCTTTTAGATGTATCTGAACAATGAATTTGGTATTGAATAATTGAAAGTCTTTGATGATCTAGTTTGCGAATGCAGATGCAGACTTTAAATGTATCAATTTTTTATTACAAATTTACATATGACATTCTTATCCTTGTAACAAATGGATGGTAATATATAGGATATTTTATTTTGTTAATTTCTCTTAACCTGATTACAAATACGTACAAGGAAAAAACGGTAGCCCTTTTAATAGTTAATTTTAAATATATCAGATTAATTATTAAAACTCATTCAACTTTGAAATTGTAAAAGAAATTAGAAAAATATTGGTTTTATATCAGAATTAATTAATGTAAGTGACAACAACAGTTCTAATTTATATAATTATATTAAATTATCAATCATTGTAATCGCGAAAATCATACATATTTGATACCATAACTTTTTCTTGGAATATATTCTTCATGAGGTGACGCTGGCAAAACTGTAATGGTACTTCTACGTAGCCTGAAAAGATACATTCCACACGGATATACTATTTTCTGTATATAGTAACAGTATATAGACTTTGCCATATTTATATTTGCATCTATAAAGTAGACTAATACTATTAAAAAGTAATATTAATATCCATTTAAACACTGGAAGCACTATAGTCATATATTAAATACAGTCTATGTAATACGTATTTGATCAGTTACCCGTAATGTCGTCGTCTCCTCGGCAGTTAATCATATCCAAATAGCATCCATTGTTGAAGGTTCGATAAACGTAATCCCTGAACTTAGAAGCACCACACACAGGTCTGTAATGATTAGGACAGAACACTGGACAGGATTCTCCGTATATTCTGCGACTAGGTAATATATGACTTTTGATGCAGTACTTGATTGGGGTTCGAACGTATCCTGAAAAACATATTCCTTTCTAATGTTATACATAATATTATTTTAGTAAAAAAATACTACGTATTTGTAGGTTAATTATAAATTAGAACTGGAATCTCGATGCTTAATTCAACAAATAAAGAACATTGATTTTAATGCTTAGCGACTCAACTATCGTATCTATATGACATTTAATTTTCTATACAGTTTGAAACTTGTTTGTTTGTCTTTTTATCAGGCAGAGAAAAAATAAAGGAATCTGTTTTAACTCAGTAGTTTTATAAGATCCTATATATTTTATTTTTTATTTATTTATGATTTTTATAACGAAATTAATTTATATGAACTTTACACCCTAACCTAACTTTCAAAAATTATATTCATCTTAAGCAAGTAAATAACAGAACTTTATTTTTCCTACTTAAATATTAGTCTTATATGGGTATTGTCAAGGACAAAAACTGGTTTTGTACAATTATGTATAAAAAAATTCATCTTTTTGAAACATTAATTATATCAGCAGTAGTTCTTGTAATTAGAAAATATTTGCTATTAAAATAATTAAACTATAAGATTTTTACCAATTCCAAAACATTTTGCATATCCGGTCATAGCACAATCGCTGGGAAACATTTTATAGTTTTTCTTTTTCAAATCTAAAGCGCAAATCATGTTTTCAGGTTCATTGGAACATTCTATAAGGCATTCTTGACTGTCGGCATTTGACTTTGCTGAAATATAAAAAAAATATAAAAGGCGAGTAAATAACTGAGCAATAAAAAATTGGACTCTTAAAATTTGATTTATTATTACAAGACCATATTTTATGATGATATAAATGATAAAATTATGTATAACGGCACTAAGTAATATAGACGACAAAAATAAAGATCAGTATTAGTCAGAAATTGTTTATTAGTATTGAATAAAGTTTTTTGATTTTATTAATAGGCAAAAAAAAGTTAACATTTAAATAATATAAAATATAATTTAAAACATTGAAAAACATTGAAATAATGTAACAAACTAAAAGAAGACTGGCAGACATGTAATTTAACGAAGGTTCACTTAAATTTAAGGCACCGCTCTATATAAGGAATCAGTAGAGGAAATTAAGTTTACATAGGTAGGCAATCTGATTTTTGAAATCCATTAGGTGTAAGAGGAAAAGTAACAGAGAAATTTGATTTTCTCATCCCAGATACTTTGATTTGAACTGATACGTGGTATCTGGTACAATCCACAATGTTCCATTAGTCAGTAATTGCTGACGTACGTTCTCAGATTGTTCTCATTGAATGTCTCACACTCGTATGATTATGATTCAATATTTTTATATAAAATATACTTGCCATAGAGTAGAAATAATAGAACCATGAAATATAACATAGTCCAGGTATTTGTTCAAGTTTCAACTGACTATTTCAAAAGTTTATTTGAAAAATTATATAACCAGGAAAAATTTTAATTAATTTCTGTTTTATTGTTTCAGCTATATTGAAAATTAATAGGAAGAATTTTAACGACATTGAAATAAGAAAGACTTTTATGATATTTTCAAGAACTATTACGCATTTACAATATCAACTTATTCTGGAGTTTCTGGACGCCAAATAATGTTTTTAATTTTTGTTAAAAGACTAATATTGATGTTTGAAATCCTTCATAGTTCCCACTTTTAACAAGTAAGTTAATTTATTTGGTTTTGAGCCCTACGCATTAAAATAAGTCCTTTATAAAGCCGAATATTAATTATTTAATTGATGAATAAAAAGTATCTTATTATTTAAGGAAGTCCTAAATGCCCCTATGTATAATGGTTTAAAGTGAGTTACACCTACTTGACAAACTTTTCTTTCGGTTTTGTTGTGTAATACCCGTAATTCAAGATTTAAAAATTCGCTCGTCTCTTCTTATATTTATCTGCAATCACGATTTGCAAACATAAATATCAATATAACAAGGAAAAAGTTTTTTCGGATTAGACCTATAACTATATAACAACGACTTTTTGGTCCTTCTACAGGAATCGTGGTCACGGCCAGACGGGATGAATGTGTCACTTTGACAAAACACTTGTTTTGTACTGACAAAAGTGACAAAAAATTTTGTTTCATTGAAATGAGTACACTTACATTACATTTGTTAGTCATATAATTGTGTAAATAACTTCTTTATAAGTAATATTTATCATTCTGGATGTTGTTTTTTTAAAGTAATATTAACGATTTGGTTATGATTTCCATAATGTTTAATATTTTACTCAGTCACTGCCTAGGTCTAAATTATTCGTCCTAAACGGATTAATTTTTATTTTAAAAGCTGTAACTGAATGTTCGAAAAATAAATTGAATTTCGAAACAGTAAAAGCGTCAATGGCTTCCAACGGCGATTTTGTATCACTTGGTTTTTTTTTTACAAAAGTTATTCAATTTTTTTCCACAGTAAAACCTGAAATTTAATTTTATACCCTAGTATAATTCCATTTCAGGAGCATATTTTTTGGTTTTTTATTAATTAATTCACTGTATGTTATTCATAAACCATATTTCTTTTTATATCGAAGACAATAAAAGTTTTTTTTTATGATAAAGGGGGCCACCGAGCAGACGGCCTAACTGATGAAGGTAGTACCGTCGCCAATAGACATCCGCAACATAAGAAATTAGGGAAGAATAAGAGGGAAAGGGAAGGAAAAGGGAAGGGGTAGGAGAGGATGGGAAAAGGGAGAGGGTAACCGGCTTCCTCACTCATCGGAGGAAACGCAGCCATTTAAGGCTATTTCACGCAGATCTTCTGTGAGAGAGTGGTACTTCCCCGGTCGAGCCAGCCCATGTTCGAGCTGCAATAACTTGACCACAGCTAGACTCTTCAACCTCTGAAACTGAAACTTTACTATAATAATCCCAAATTTAATAAAATACCTACGTAATATTTTAAACACTAAAATATCCTGGTGCACAGCACCATGTTCAAAATTTGTACATGGTGTTACTTTAAAAGATTATTTCGTAAATTATTCGTTAAAAAACTAGCAGATTATACTTTCGATTAATCAATTTCTTTCCTTTCTTATATCTTTTTACATTTTTAGGCGCTCCACTGAGCATGAAAATCATCAATATCACTTCTACAGATAACAATAAAAGCGCCATTATAAGTAGTATAGAAAATTACGACTCCTTTGTGTCCTTTCAAGCTGAATGTAGCCTTTTATTGACGTGTTCCATCATTTATCATCCTTATTTATACAGGATAAAGGACAGGCAATTTAATTGTGTGTAGTAATGTATACTCATTGTCATTAACTTACCCCATTTAATTATATAACCATAAGAAACTCTTAGGACATATCCTAGTTATATTTTTGTAGTGACCGCAATGAACAGTATATTCTTATATTCAGCTTGAATTATATTTGAGTAAATTTTAATCAACTTGAAGTTTAAAGTTATAGGTAAAATTACCGATGAGTTCTGTAGTTAGGCTGAATACAAAGCTGTTATTACGTTACGCCGCGCCCTTTAATTTTCTGACAGTTATTTATTTGAGCTTATTGTTGACGAGTCATTTCATATAATTGCGTTAAATGTTACATAATAACGATGTTTCTGTATACGTATACGTTGCAATATTATCGCTATCTCTTGTGATAAACATTAAATTATTTTCAAAAAAAAAACCTACTACAAGCAGTGAACTAAAAAGCAAAAACTAAATTAACTTTTTACAAAGTTATACTTATTTTCATTAAGTTAAATAGGAAATAATATTAAATATATTATGGATTTTGAAGTCGATGCCAAGTAAAATTATAATAGAGATATTAGATTCCTATGTATTATCAATCTTTATAACAAGTGACGAAAATATTAGATGGTAATTATAAATAAATATCTGTGTTATGGTGATTATCAGAACATAGCGCTTGAGGGCAGACATCGTTGATGGTTGTGTCTAAATGTACAATTTTCGTTCTCGCTATAATATTGTTTTTTCAGGTTTTCGTAAAATTAGGTTAGGTTTAATATTCGTATTACTTATATTATTTGATTCAAGTGATTTTGGTATCATACCTATTTATTACTTATTTGTTTTAATTAACCCATTCATTTTGAGTATTTAATATTTGTTACATATGTAAATACTAGTGTTCTTTTATAATTCATTACTAATAGTTCGTAAATCAGTACGTAGGAACATAATGATTAAAGATAGTTTGATAATAATTAGTAAGTACGGATTAATTTTTTTTTCTAATACTGTTGTTGTTTTGTTATTGCTTTAATTAATATATTCAACAATTATTGTGTGTACTTAGTAATTTGATATTGTAGTAAGGTTGGTATTGCATTTACTTGAAATCCACTTCGAAATTATAAAACAATTATTTGATTTTATTTTCTATTGAAGTAAATGTATATACGTATTACTTTGTCCGAAGTAATTTTTTTTTCTTAATAGTTCACTGCTTGAAGTTGTTTTTTTTTTTGTTAAAAAATATTTTATTTTACGATTATAAGTAATGGGTAGATCATGCACTGGTCTTAATCATCAAATATACTGCAGATCTTCATTATTATCCATATATGAGCAAAGCTCTCATTAATATAAATTAATTAAGTCCTAACTTAAGGTAACTACGGTAAATCGTTAAGAAGTTTCCTGCACTATCCTTCATCTTCATCGTCAGATCCCTAATGGCAATTACCGTCTATCTATCTGTAAAGTTCTTATCAATACAAATGAATGAAACTTAAACACAAAGTATCTGCTATTAATCGTTGAAGACTTCCTTCGACCGTTTCTCAGCTCCATCCTCAGATCTATTCCAAACCTTCATCAAATGGTAAAAGCTTAAATACTTAATGAAAGAATGAGATCTAAGATTTTTGCTAGTACTCATTTAAATGAAACTAATATTTTCTAATTTACTACGCGATTTTTTTTATTTAAAAATTAAATTATATTAGTTTCATTTTAATGAAAGAATTTACATACGTACTTGTTGTTCCTAGACGTTTTGAAAGTTCCCCTCAATATTTCTGGTCTGCCATCATTAGACCCTGGTTTCCTTGTCATGGGACTACTTTTAAAATATTTACTTTTCAATAAAAAACTATAATCAAAATCGGATCATAAACGACAAAGTCATCTGCGAACAAACCTTTACCTTTTTGAAACAGGTAAAAATGCGACCTCCCTAATAAGTTATAAATACATGAAACAAAGTGCTTGCTTGAGTTATATTCTGGAAATTTTTGCCTTTGTAATAAATAATAAATGTTAAAGTTTACATTTCAAGAATTATTATTATACATACATACCATCATAAAGGGTAATCATAATATAAATTAAATTTTAATATCAGAATTTAACTATATTTTACAGTATGTTTACAACTGAAAAAGAAATTTTGCTTCCCACTAGATTTGTTCCTAAGAGAAGAAAAAAATGTACCTACGGCCAGTTATGAGCCCATATGCTCACAAGCACCATCTTTTATATTTTCATTTTATTTTAAATGACCCTAGCGTATATACGATATTATACACATATGTGATATATGTTTCAAATTTAATAAATTTGATGACATCAAAGCACCCAATTATAAAAAAAATTGTGCGTCAAATATAACAAATGTGCACCATATTTAAGTAAATACCTGTTTATTGGTATTTACCTTAAAGTTCAATAAACTATCCCTAAACTTCACTCTTTGAAGTGACAATAAAACTCATATACAAATGTATATTGTTTTCACTTGTATATAGAAAACAAATAAATTGTTACTATCACAAATAAAGAAATGAAGTGTCTTATCACATTTAATTTCTAGTACCTTGTCACATTTTTGAAATAATGATGAGATTGCTTCAATTTCTTATGTCAATACACTGATTCCGATGATAAAATATTGAAATCTCAAGGTACTACTTTTATCCGTGTCATAGCGTGAACAGTAAATTTGGTAAAGTCACGTAGAGTAGAAAATATTCTTTTTCCGAAGAAAATTGGTGAGCTTAATAAACCAATTTTCGAGAAGAATTACTTGATTCAATAAAATGCCAGTGAATAAGAGTAGTATATTTTTACTATTTATTTAAATGAATGCCAATAATTTTTGACTAAGTATAAATCATTTTGATTAGCTTGTAACGACATTATTTTGTAGAAATATATTTAAATTTATATTGTATACAAATATAAAAATTTCAACAAAATGTTTCTTAATTATACACAGGCATTCGATTCCAAATAGGCTGATATGATGTTCAGTTTAATTTAGCATTTTAATGTTCTAATAATTAAAGAGCAAATGGAAAAAAGACTTTTAAAAGTTTGAGGCAATGTCTTAAGTGTGGCCTTTGAAAGTTCGATTAACACAAAGGATTTATAATGACTGAGACAGTTAAAAGCTATTTTCTCCAATTTCATTTTGACAAGCGAGTACAAAATAATTCAAGCAAATGATTTCGATTAAAACAATGGGTTCCATTTATTTATAATAAATTTTAATTTGTACAAAGACGTGACAAATAAATAGTGTAGTATATGACAACAAAACAAAATTTTTATCTTTATATTAACAGTACCGAAACTGCCTAAAAGGGTTTCTCAGATTAATACATTAAATATTAATCCTCTTATAGATATCCACTGGACCTTAAGGTTCGAGGCTCCGTACTGTAAATCTATTCGCAATTGTAGTATACCACTTTAACGGAATAGTTTTAGAGAAAACAGGAATGAAATTTTACTTATTAAATTAATTTACTTTTTATAATAATTTCAACATAACATGAAGCCTTATATAATATTTATAAAGGTTGCTCTAAATATACATTTAAAATTATTATCTTATAAGTTTTTATTTTCTAAGTGTATTAGATATTATAGGAGTAATAGTTAAAATTGATCATTATAGCATTTAAAATACGAAAGACATATTTCTGCATTTAAGATCTGGAAGACTAATGGTACATACTTACAGTGAATAACTAGAGGATTTCGTTCATTTAACTCATGCATTATTCAAACAAATTTCGTTTTTCTCGAATGGTAGGAATGAGACCCAGTGAGATATTTCTTTTATTGGGCGTTATGAGAGGGTGAAATACCACGCAGTAAATTATAAACGTGAAAAGTGTTAAGTTTCTTTATGGATATATTTAAAATATGTTACAGATATTAAAAATATATCAACCTATATATCATAACAGGAAAAGTATGTATAGATTTCAAATTTAAATTTAGCCTCAATTGTCTTTTTATAAATAAATTATTTTTGTGTTTTAATAAAAAGTAGGAGCATTAGAAAGTACAATTGAACATAAAAATTTAATTCAAAATTTGAATTACCGTAATATTTACAAATCCAAAACTACTAATAACTCAAAAACTTTTATAGTTATAATACTATGTCGTCTATAACAGAGAGAATTCACAGATTCCAGTAACAACATGTAGAAATTCTAAAACTTTGACATAAGTTTAAAACAGTTAAGTTCTTCAGGCCATAGCTTTCCTGGGGCCATGTTTTAGATCTTATTGGAACGCTGAATACTAGCAAAGTGAGAAAATTCATCAATCAAAGAAATTTTTGCCGTCAAACCGAAGGGTCAATTTAATCAATGAGAAAAGATATTCAACTAAAAAATCCAAACTTTTTCCCGTCTTTCGTTCCAAGGTCGTTAACAAGACAGCATTCCTTTCTTACACAGTCTTTATCAATAATTTAGATAGGTTTCTTTTCTAAATGACTAATTTTATCATAATTTCTTATGAAACGTTGCAGCATTAATACATACGGAATTAATATATCTACGGAAGTAATATAAAAGTGACAGATTATTCGGTTCGCTTCACTGATAATAATCCATCAATTAGTTTGTAAACAGCTTTTTCTTTACCTAAAACAGATCTCATTAGGCTCTCATTAAACATATTGATAAAAAGTAAAAAGAAAAATATAAAGGTTCCAATAAAATTTCTTTAAATATGTTCTAAAAAATAAAATTGAAATTGGAAATTGAATAAAAATATAGAATATCTCAAATATTCATAAAATTGTGTGTTAATGAAATGGTTCCTCATAGATATGAACAGGCAGATTAAAGGTGAACATTTATTCAGAAGTTTATTAAAATCTCTAGGCTATAGAGTTGATAGTAAGTTACAGTCACGTCACTTCAAGGAATCTCATTTAAAATTAATGTCAAGACGACTGCAGTTTCCATGCTGATACATTTCTTAATATGATGTATATAATTATGATCCGTATTTCCTGCTTTTAATATCAGCCCTCCTGAGGGGCGACATTTTCATTCAAGAATCTATAGTAATATTCTTAAATATATGAAAAGGATTTGTCTCATTATATCTTACTTTTATGAAAAGAAATACTGACGTGATATTAGTCTTTAATTATTATTATTAATTTAATATGTCAATCACTACAAACTTGTCCAAGTCATAAAGGAGTGTCATCATGAAAACTACTAATATTATGTATATAATTTTAATATAAGAATGTAAAATATAAATTATAAGATAGTATTTAATATGTTTGTTAACAAAAGGTTAGTTAGCTTAAATTTTAAGTACTATCAATATTTAAGTAGATAGTTCTTCGTTTCTTCGTTGTTATATTCATATAATTTTTTGATCATATGCCGTTAGTATTTAAATTCTATTAATATGTTTAAAACAAAAAAAATGTACTTGTGTAATGAATTATTACAAAACTACATGCTATCAACGTATTGATAAAATTCTTCTTCATCTCAATACAACTTAGAACACATTAACGAAGCTGACGGTAAAATACTCATGCAAAAAATAGAACAAAAACTTACTTCATAAAAACAAACCTTAAGCTAAGACTTCCAAAAATAACTATAATTTCTCGTTACATTCGCAGCGTTGATTATAAAAAACGAAATTCATCTTTTCAATTTCTTTCCTAGATTATTTTTATAGCAATTACGGTGTAATTAGTTATGCTATTATAGCTGAAGTTGATATCCAATCTCATGTAATAACATCGAAATAGATCATAAAAAGTTACAACAATGCCCGAATAAAAAAAGTATAAAAAAAGTATTGTATTTCAGTCATGACGAATTATTTACGGTAGTTTCTTTTTATCAGGAAAACATGTTTTAGATAGCAATAATTTTGATTTCATATAAAAAATCTTTGGGTTTTAGGATGGGTATAATAAAAGTAAAGTAGAAATATTTGTTCCAATATAATATTTAAAGGAAATAACAAAATATATATTAATAAAAAGCATCAGAATTATTAATAATAAGCACAATAGATACAGGGAATCTTTTTTGATTTTTATTTGATCATTAAACACAAACATATAAAAAACAAATTCACTTTTCTTGATAGAACAACCAGATATAAATGTTCAGGCGATCCACACCCATGTTATATTGTTGAAAGAAAATTTGGTATAAGATATAATAAATGTATGATCTAAGCTTTAACCGTCATTGTATCCCTCATTTTATATCGTAATATGAAGCCTTAAGGAAAATAATAAGAAAAAAGCTTTTTTCTTTCGGACTACGGATTGATTTTATTATCATTTTTTTACGTCATACTTTGATAAAGTTATGATTGATAGAACATCACTCTAATTTTGCTCAAAAAGTAACTAATTAGTATATTTTTTAATTTTTTTTGAGTAGTCTAAACCATTAAAATAATAAAAACCTTTCCAGTTGTGTTATTATCATTTGATATCATATAATTGAAATGTTTTTGATGTAATTAGCAGAACGAAAAAAAAGGTCACCCATTATTTTTATTTAAATGCTTCATAAAGGTCTTAAATGGGAAAAATAATTTAATAGTACCATCATTAATGCTATGGAAATTAACTATGTTTTGAAATAGCATTTCTTGCTTAACAGTAGCTTATTAAGTTGAAAAGAAAATGAAAGATTTGCTATACTATGCTATAAGTCTACTTATTAAAATAATTATCATACAGAAAACGAAATATGAGAAATACGTATGTGAAACTGAAAGTCTTTGATGATAAATCTTTTATTTTTTATATATAAAATTAGAGTCAATATTTTACCTAATTTTTTTTTGTTATTTTGTTACCTTCCTCATTTCTGCTTTTGTTGCACTAAATTTCATCTTTTTGTAGTAGGACCTGAGTTTTCAGCCTGAACATTAATTACATAGACAACTGGATATATACATATCATAACTAATAGATGAAAAACATGCATTACCAATGAAAATAAATAAAATTTAAATATAAATTCTCATTACTTTTTGTTGTATTAGAAATTGTAGGCACTGTGAGCAACAAGAAATAGGGCTAGTATTAAAATAGTAAGTATATTAAGTATCAGTAATAATAAAATATTTATGAGTCTACTAGTTTTATCATTGTCATTTGTCAAAGCTGCTATATCTATTGTATTTATCGGTATATACCAAATTCTATAAAATTTTAATGGCTCCTCATTATAATATATTCAAAAGCAAAAAAATTAACTTATTGGTAAAAACAAACTAAAACTTACATTCTAATCCATTTTAGCTTATTTTTTGAAGTTAAATAATTTCTAACAATTTCCCTTTTACCAATATGATATCTATTATTATTAATTTATAGGACGCAAGATACATTTAAAAATCTTTTTATCCTCGTATTAAAAATTAATTTATTGGAGCCTCATCAAAATTTACCTAACATAATTTTCATTATGTCATAATTTCTTTGTCAAACAAGGCGGTGGTGGTGTGGGAGAAAATATTTGCGTATACTTAATAAATACAGTTTTTTGTGAAAGAATATAAGTAGTTTCATGTTTTATGTCGATCCAGGTAATTACATTATATTCGAACATTGCAATTCAGTGATATAATGTAAAAATAGAATACAATGCATCTTATCGCATATTAGCAGCACTCTATCGGCCTTCGATACGATATTTCTGTTTAATATATTAATAAATAACCCCTCTATTATATTCTCCTTCTAGTTATTTGCTTTCAGTATCGTTTTGAAATTTTCTTTTTATTATTACAATAACAACAAACGTTAAAACATTTTGTCAATGTTTTTATGTAAACCATTAATTTAACAAATATTTGTTCCGTAATTAGGCTTCAGCCCTAACATACGAATCTGATCTATGTAATGAATATGGCCACAATCCAAAAGGAGAACCTGGATAAAGTTTTAGACCTTTTAGACATAAATACTTCACTACCTTCTTCCAAGACGTGACTGTTAATTTTAACGCAAACATTATAGGAAGGTCCCTTATTGTACCATCTGCATAATATTTAACAACATGATATATAGACACGTCAGAGAAAGGTTGCTGAGGAAAGTACTAAGACTTGTGCGATTCCAACATTTAAGTCCACGGCAGCTACTGCCATGAAAGCATCTTTTATGCGTCTGCTGGACAAAAATCTAACGACTGATTTGCAAATTTATTTGGGTAATCCAAATGATGGTGGCCTCAACAGAATGTGTCGGTGTCTGAGCTCATTACATTTCTTTTCTTTGTAATATAAAGGCCGACTGTACAAACACTTCTTTCGTTCACCTATTACTAGCTAACCTGCTATCAATGCTTGTCCCTCAGCTGAAAGCAACGCCAAAAGAAACTTAGTGAAAATATTATCATATGATATCGATCTACGACATTTATAATATAATAGATTGCATTCATTATATAATAGATTATTAATACGTGTAAGCAATTACAACTTGTTAGAAAATTCATAAACCAACATGTCTTAACTTATTAAAAGGCGAAAGGTGTACTTCAAATAAAAAAATGGTTGTAAGCAGTGTTTTATAAATGTAAGCAAGAAGTAATGTTTTAATTTTAATTGAATTATTGTATTCTTTATCCTTATATATAAATTGATTTGAATATTGGATATATTATATTTTATTTTGATTTCTATGTATCGGTGAAAATTGCTGTAACGATAAATCGTTACTTGATACAACTTGATATCGTGTACCCAATCAGCGTAAAATTGTTTAATCATTTCATTCTTATCGGTTATTGATACGGACATTTATTTATAATAATTTTATGTACATGTCGTTTAAATTTCTTAAAGCTATACAAAATTGAAATTGAAAGTATTGCAACCGTGTTAAATTACTTATGTCGGTGTTACTAGAATAAGAAAAGTAATTTAAGGTATGTTATTGGCATTAAAATAGAATATTAAATTTATATCAACTGTATGTTCCTTACTTACTTATCCAAACAAATTAACCTCATTAAATCAGCGAAATTATACACTTATTATAATATTGTAGAACGTTTCAATGTTTATTTCTTATTTTTATATATAACTTATGTAACATTTTTTCATATAAAAACTTATTCAAACACCTCTATAAGTATTACACTTAAATATATAGTTACATGTACGGCACATACTAATATGACTGCCTTACGTAACCGCAATGTAGGTCATTGTCTTGAAGGAACGTATGAAAAATAATGATAAATCATCAAACCCGCATGAAGAAACATATGACCTACTGTAGCAGTTATCAGAAATCAAACGGTAATCAAAACGATTACCGTTTGATTTTTGTGTTACTGTAAAAACCCAACGTAATACAAGTCATTGACCATAAATGGAATAGTAAATAAACTGTGAAGAACAAATTGTCATAAGAATCAATAAAGAGAAATATAAAAGTGAAGTTTAAGCATTCAAGTTTTAACTGGTCAAAAGTATATTATATTTGTATTAATAATCGAATAATTTCCCACATTATTAGAAGGTTATCCAATAATATATTTGAAATTTGAGAAACGATTAAATAAGCAATGTAACAGATGAAGGTTTATAAATAGGGATAAGGATAGAGTGATCCCACAGACATCCCACAAATATGCATTTACACGAAAACCATTCAACAATAGATCGGATCTTATCTTGATTTTGTACTTATTATTCAGGCATAAAATCATACTTTTTTTTTCAATAAATGTTAAGATTTCAAAATTCTTACTTATTAAAGTTTACAAAGTTTAAAGAAAGTGGTTTACAAAGTAAAGGTAAGTTTAGCTGTAGTTTACTGTCAAATTTATTATAAGAATGTACCAATTGTACCAATGTAACCAATTGTACCAAATGTACCAATGTAATGTTATAATTCAATACTTCACACATTTTAAGCCAATAATTTTTATTTAGATAAAAGATATAGTAATACAATTCTAATTTATTTACTAATTTCTGGGTCTTTTAATATATTTCCTCTGTGATACGCATCTTTCGGAAGCGTTTAACATACATACTGATATTTACATTAAAGAAGCCATAGACTTTATCATTGAACCCATAATGTTTTGCAAACCAACTCAAAATAACTACCCACGGAAAGTTATTTGTTTAGTGCACCAAGCTTATAATGAACAAACTGTTAATTAATTTTTAGTAAACTTCGTTAATCCTTTTCTGTCTGATGTAGCCACGTAGAGGAAGCCCCAAGTTTCATGCAATAACTAAACGAAGACTAAACTAATAGTCGTGACAAGAGTAAGCAATTTTTTATACTAATAAAATTTTAAATATTATGGAAAGTTAAATAATTGAAATATTATAAAAGGGAATTAAACAACATTTATTTATCTTTATATATTGATCTGAAATTATTCAAACAATTAATTTCAAACACACACATTTTAACGAATTTTATATTGTAACTCTATGCTTGATAAGTGCACACACTAGGGATGAAATACAATCTACTTTTATGGGGTTGTTTTTTGTTTATTGTATTAAACTATCATCTCATTGGTTCTACTAAAATGTTTAAATTTTTTAATCATAAAAGCTGTAAATTTTATTAAGATTATAACGGAATTTATTTAAGGAGGTATCAAGACCTAAAAGACCACGAAAGGTAGATGCATTTTTAAAATCAAACAACAACATTCCAGTGTGATCTCGCATTTCATTTTCGAAGACGTGCTCTCTCTTTATTTCTTATGTCCTTCAATATACACATTAGGTCTTTGTTGATAAGTTTTAGGATTATTTCGGACTTCATTATATTGACGCCAATTCAGAAACCAAAAAGGCTTTTTGTCATCTGGTAGTTTACTTAATCTTTTTATTAAGTTCCAATCTCCGTTAGCTTCTATGGGAAGATCCGCAGTCTCTCCATATTTATTTGTGATTGGATTTGATTCTAGTTCTGGATATCCGATCGGTCTCTTGCCAGCATAGGATCCCCTCTGTGCAAAACTTATAGCGCAAAATATCGAGCAAATCAAAATGAGTTTGTAAATTGCCATTTTTCACTAAAAAAAAATTAAATTAAAATATCGGAAATTATGTATAATAAACAAAAATAGTAACTTGCAGTGATCTTCAAAGGGAAGGTTTGACTGTACTATTTGTAAAGAAAATAAGTGGAAAGTAAAAATGAGTTAAAAATTATTTACCTTTTACGTGTCAATATATAAAATCTGTATATTTCTTCGAGGTGCCAATCGATATGAATGCAATTGCAATGCAGCAATCGAGTAAATATATAAACCCTTACCGTGACGCGTATAGTCAACGTAAGTAGCGACACACTGAATGATTAAAAATTTAAAAAATATTTACGCTAGTAATGTTAATGCCGTGACATTAGGATATATTAAAAAACCATTAGGATATTAGACATTTAAATTTCAGTGGAACTGTGTATTGCGAGTAAAACGTGGCAGTAGCTTGACTTGACATATAAAGCTCTTCATATGAGTATAACTATTGCATATTTTTTAATAAATTAAAATTTTTGGTAAGACGTATTGAGGTATAATATATATTTGATTTAATAGATATTGTCTGTATTATTTAAATAAATAGAATATTAATTAATAGCATAGTTCTCTCCATAGCTCTTTGAGCGACTGTGAGTCCATTTATGAGGCCTTTGGTGAAGCACCAAGTTTCGGATCCATAAGTCATTAATAAATATATTAAATATGTAGAATTATAATAAATTTAAAAGTAATTTTGAATTGTATACCAATTAGTTGTTAAAATTTAAATTAAAATATTGTTGGAGTTTTATTTATTTTAAAATTATAATAACATAGAATTAATTAGTTTCTTACTTATTTCACAATGTTTTATTCCCTAGGAAAATTTTGAGACAAACTTATCTTGAGCATAATTTTTGAACACAATCTATAAAAATTAATCCCTTTTCCCTAGGTCACCGCATCACGCGTGAATAGCTGGACCGATTTCACCAATTCTTTTGTTGTTGTTTTTGTTATTAGTAAGAAAAGTTTCTTATGTATGAAAAAATTAAGAAAATTTCAAAAGAACTTACTAGAATATTTCACTTTTTTATTAAAATAATGTGTCACAGTAATATTCACGTGGTTAGAATAAAGCATTAAAATAATAAACACTTTGTTTTTGGAATAATTTTGATTTGTTAATATAGTAATTAGAATTCAATAACCACAGTTAAGAAGAAAGATCATGTATGTTGGGTCAGTTATGCTTAATAAAGAAATTAACTGCATTCAGATTAAAAGTTAACAGATATTTCTTAATTATAAGGTGTTACGAAGTTCGCCGGGTTTGCTAGTATTAATATTAATTCCTATTAAATATAATATAGGCACTAATACTATATCAATATCGGATAAAAAATGTTGGTAATACTATACATAAATTCTTAATCTATAATACCGTTGCGCGTAATGCTTCACAATAAGCAATTATCCTTAAGGCTGATGACGTAGACTTCTTCATAAAGAATTTTCGTCGATACCCCATATGGAAAGATAAGCAATTTTTATGATTTATTAAGAATGACAATGATTCATTGTATTATTAGTAAATTTGCGGCTATAAATGTATTAAAACTTTGTTGTGACGTTGTTATTAATTTTTTAAGTTTATTTAAAATAATACAAACACGACGATATAGTCGTAATAGAAAGGAATCACTTATGCATACTTAATTTAAATTTTATAAATAAGTCAATATCCCTAATATATAGAACTACATATATATATTTTTTTAATTTCAACCAAATAATAAACAGTTTTGAAAATTTTTACGGCTTTTTCAATTATTTATATTAATAATAATTACTAAATTGATATATTTATTAATTATTATATTAACTAATAAATAATTTATTAATTACATAAAATTATTTTCCTTGCTATAAGTTTAAATTAAGATGACAACGATATAAAATAGGACAATTAATCTTATGATGGTTAATTTATTGAGCTGGAGACGAAATATAAATGCTTTGTTTTACATTCAATTCATGACCACAAGTCAATTTAAACTTTTCGGAGAAGACTACTTTGTACACACTTTTTGATTATTTTATTTTTTAATTTTTTTCTTTTGTTTGCTTTTACTAAACAATTATACATATGACGAATTTATTGCTCAAATACTTTAAAAAGATGAACTGTTTTGGATTTAATTAGAGTGGCATGGTAAGCTTTTGTAAAAGTAATTGACAAAGAGCCCCGCTACCATGAAAGAGATCCTTCTTTGAGAACACACAGTTTTCAGCCCAAAAAGAACAAGCGTCCTAATACTACACATTCTGTCTACATGTAGTTCTAAGCTTTCTTATCAAATTACTTTATACTGTTTAAACATATCAAATATCAGATAAATTCTGATCCTTTCATTAATAGAAATCCCTAAGATTTCGTAATTTTTCCTTTAGATTGCAGTATATGCCTAATATTAATTCATCTGAGCTTGGATTACATGCCATTTGATATTATTAGATATGTTTTATCTTATTCATATAAATATTACGGACAAGAAAACATTACATCGATGTAAAAAGACCGGCTTTCGTCTTGATGGAACATATAACAAGTACTGAAGTACCAATTCCGTATGACACACATAGTGTTGAATCTACTGGCTTATTAATTCATGTCCATATTGATAAATTAATATTAATTTTAAAATTAATATTAATATTAAGGAGCCTCATTACTTAGTGAAATTAGGTTCAGAATTCTACTTACATGTTATAACCATCACATCAATACTTAATACCATCAATACTTAAACTATAATATTCGTAAAACACTCGTTCCCATTTCTTGGATTTAGAAGATTTTGATAAAGTCACAAGTATTATTTATTATATATATGCATAAAAATATTAATGAAGTATTAAGCATAGAGCCCCGAATTAAATATTGTAAATCATTGAATGCAAACATATATATATCAAATATATCAGATGATTTTATTATAAAATAGAAAATTCATATGAAAAGTAATTCGTCAAGTTGATGGACTAATAGATCGATCATAAAAAGTAACTTCATATTTTCTTACAATTACGATAATACTCCCTACTCATACTTGTTTTAAGGTACTTTTTGCAAAATATGAAGATAGTCCCAGGATTACTTAATAATATATAAGAAGTATACTCTATGAATTGTGTATATACCAAAAGCTATCTTGAAAAATAGAATAAAAAAATGTGTAAAAAATTATACATATATCTAATTTAAAACTAAACTCAAAGTAAATACATCAAAGTCTTTCCAATTCCACCTAACAACTTACAATCTAAAGTTATTCGAAGTATTAATTAACAATTAACCGCCACGTGTTAAAATGTATATTACTATTTATAACTTATATGTAGTAGTCATGAACAAACTTTAACACTTTATTTACAATATAAATATAAAATAAAATATTCAACTGTACTTATTTTATGTCTTAGTATTTCTCAAATACTTTTATTCAATAGCATGGACAAATATAATATTTAGTGTAATGACCTACCATGACACACAAACGTCCAAAAGATAAAGGGAAATGAGAGCAGTCGGGCTACTTTCCCGTTATTCTGTAACCCTGTCAATTGCTTTAACACGTACACAAATAGCTTTTGTTATAGCCAACATAGAAGTTTGTATTATTTTGTCTGCCTTGTCACGTTTCACCCCATCCTGCCTTTCTTTCGTGGTAATTTTCTAAGGAATATATATTTTGAATAATAAAATAACACATAATAGGGAAGAGATATAAGGAAAAGAATTTTCCGTTAGCTTCACAACAATAATTTTTTAATGGCATGATTTCTCCAAATGAATCAAAAACATCAAACAATTTCTGTTTGCTTTTTAAAATCAAAACAACGTTTCCGAAGAAATATTTGAATCTAATTTATAAATACAAAACATTTAATTTTTAGGGCTAGCTCAATTAGACTTTTTCGATTAAAACTTTTCAATTTATAAACACGAAACAATTTCTAGATGTTGTACAATAGATTTATTCAAAGGTTTGGTCAATTTTCTTTGAAAATCTCACAGCATCTATATCTTCTACATAGGTATATTTAAGTATAAAGACATAATCGTATAATGTATTAAAATTGAATAATAAATAAAAACGTATGAAGAAAATCCTAAAACAATATAGATAATAACCAATTTGAGAAGCAATTACATTGAACCAAAGTAATTATGGAGGCTTAACTTTATAGAGTTAAAAGCAATTACAAAGGCGAACAACAAGATACACATTATTGTAGAGGTGAAATATATAAAGGCTGAAATAAATGAATATGCCAAGGGGACTTAAAATATTGAAATCATAAAATTTATTCTAGGTTTCATTGGAAGAAGTGCTTGTTTGTTTGTTTGTAGTATTACCATTTTTTAACGTAAAATTTGTTCAAGGTATCAGTGATAGGATATCAAGAAAAAATTTCTTAGTACCTCGTAAAGTTGAAATGATTTTTTAATTTAATGATTTTTTATCATTGTTTTTTTTATTGCTTTATTTCTAAGTGAAATTTTTTGGAAAAAACACAGAGTACGTTCTATTCTTCGGTAATTTTATGTCGATTAACACCATTTGAAATGTTTCGGATTATCAGTAGTGAACATTTTTAATAATTTTAAAAATTACCCTGGTTTTAGTCAATAAATAAGAAAATAGTGAAATAATCCTTTGATGACCATAATCTTGTAGACATAGGAGCGTTAAACAACAATTAAATACGACATACTAGGAATGACATTTTTATATTAAAAGACTACCTTGATTCTTAATACAAGAGTAATAAATATTGACAATAAATTAATAGCGTTTAATAACGTCTATTAATGGAAAACGATTTAAAAAGGTTAAGAAACATCAATCTTTTTATAGCAAACATTTTATTACGAATACAAGAGTAAGGAATATTGTTCTGTTAACCTTTTATTTTGTTTGGTTTTCAATAAACAGCATTTGTTTTCAATGTGTAATGCTAATTGGATGTCAAACTTTTTATGTATCATACATTTTTACTCTTTGTCTTAAATACGAATCGCCAAGAAGAGTTATAAAAAATCAAGTAAGCAATATTCCGTCCAAATATATTTTTTTATTGAACTTATTTTTTTTTATAAGAACAATACTACAGAATACTGTATTTTAAATAATGGATAATAACCTTTAGTTGCAAGATTTTAAAGTACCACTCAATTTCTATAACAGTTGAAATAACGAAACTTCTTGCTTTAACCCAAAAATATCTCCACTCTTATATGCTTTTCACTAAATTCGTTTCTATTTCACACGTATATGTACCCTTCCCATTTTGTAATTTTATATATTTTTTGATACTGTAATGTGCCATAGGTTTAATTTTGCAGACGTTGTCCAGCTTATGTTATTCTATAATAAGTACATTATGATCGAAGTATGATTTCTTTGGGCCAACATGATTATCTAAATATCACAGATAAATAATTTGAAATACTGTAATTTTCAATTCGACGTAGATGGAAGCTCTCTGATTGTAATCTTCTATTTCTATCTTCTAAACGTATTTCTATCTACAAATCCATTTGGCCTTTGTGGGTAGGTCTGTGGGTTTCTTCTTAATGCATCATATTGGCGCCAGTTCAGGTACCAAAAAGGCCTGTTGTCTACGGGCATCTGGTTAAATCTATTAATTAAATTTCCATCTCCTTTAGCTTCTATGGGAAGATCAGCATCTTCTCCGAATCTGTTTGTGAGCACATTTGATTCCACTTCTGGATATCCAATTGGTCTCAAACCAGCGTAAAATGGCCTTTGTGCATTACTTACAGCACAAATTATTGCAAAAAATGCACAGATTTTGTAAACAGCCATTGTGTCTGTAAATAAAAAAAATATTTTTTTTTTTAAATATGACTTTTATAAAATATAATGCAATATATTTTTCTTTAATAATAAGTACATAAATAGAATATAGTTAAACCACTATTGAATAACTCTATTCGGATATTTACCTTTTAATGAGTAATATTTTAGTTCTAAAAAGCGAGTCTATTCTCTGCGGCGTGCTGGCTGATTATGGTTGTTTGGTAGAGGATCAAATAAATATATACAAACTGAAACAAGACCCGTTTGAAAACGTCACGATCAATACAGAGCTTTGAATTTACAGAAGTGGCATTTAATGAAATGTCTTCAAATAATAAAATTGATCATATATCCTTATTAACACATTTAAATATTTTGATTCAACTTATAGTTTAATAATAATATCTTTTACGTATTCTTTACTTAATTAGTAATTCCACAAGAACTCTTTCAATTAGGTTTTAATTCTTTTATTACAAATAAATAAAAAAATAGATTCCTTTCTCAAATGATATATAGTATATAAACTTATACAATATAGATGTTTAAAGAGTATATTATATAAATTAAACTAACATGACCTACATTAACAAAAATGGAAACATTACATACTGTTTTGTCTGCGACTTTATAACACCGCGTAAAAACCCAGCGTAAAACGGTTCGTCGGCGGCCCGTGTTTCCAGTTTATGACGTCACTTCTGCCTTTGAAATACGTCACAAGCCTTTTTACGAACACTACGTCAGTTAACAGTTATTTATAAAAATAGACTAGCACTAATAAGTAATAATACTACAGTCTTATAATTATTTTATTAGTAGTAGATATTTCATCTGACATACTTCTTTATCTGTTACTCTTATTATGTTTATTTATAGTACAAAGGTTAAAGAGTCCCTGAAAATATCAATTATATTAAATAAATAACAGTTTCGGTGTCTTTTTTAGCAACTAAAAAAAATAAGCAAGAAAGTCTATTGTGTTTAACATTAGAAAATTATACATAATTTTTCATTTTTTTTTTACTTCTATAATCGCTTTTGTATAAAATTTATTAATTTCTGAAATATTCTGACGTAACCATAGAAATTAAATAATGAGAATATATGTATCATTAAAAAAAAACACACACACTCAAATAATAGTAACTTTGTTTAAAGTATATTATTATGTGTAATAATATAATATGTGTAATAATGTTATCATGCTGAGATCAAAAAATTTCGTCAGCGTACAATTAATTATGTTATCTAAAATAAAAATAATTTTAAGAAACTAATAACCTAATTGCGTGCTTATTGTATATTATAATTATTACCTTTAAATGAGTTAATAAGAAAGATATTTATATTAATTCTTTAATCTCCTCATAACTTAAAAGCTATTAAAATAATTCACTCCTACTAAATAGAAATTGATTTTCGATAAATAAAATCTATAATATCTAATTTGGTGGAATGTAATTGCTAACGAATATCTTCGTAATGAGTTATATAGTAGTACTTAGTACTTATTCAAAATAACTTAATTCTATATTGATGGACTAAATCGCAATCTGAACTATTGGGTACTTCAAGAGGTGAAACAAGACTTAGTTGAGGGGGTGGTGGGTAGGGGGTGGATCGTCAAATGACCTCTTGTCCTGGGTAAGGCAAGTGGGATTGTCAGACTCCTGGGTGACTAAAAACCCCCGTGCCTTCTCCTGCTTCAAGCCAGGAAGCGGAAAATCATTGAGCTTACGTCCTCAACCCGGTATCACTTCAGCTCTAGAAATTAATAGTTGCACAGTTTAGTTTAATACCGTTTCATTGAACGACAATATTTTTAAATTAAACTATTTTTAAATATTAAAACAATGCTAATAAAAATATTTATAAATAATGTTATAATTAAGGTTTCATTACAATGATATGTATGTTTTAACTAGTATTAGCTCACGACACCGTCCGGAGGAACTTCGAATTTTTGAGCAGAGAAAATCGTATGAAGTGTATTAAGCCACAATCTTAGTAATAAACGAGCTAAGATATTTATGATGAGTTTCATTGGACTTCATACACATCACAACTGTTGCGCCATGGGAAATATTAAGATAAATTGCGTCTAGTGACTTATTCAATCGTCTAAACTACAACACCATAAGTTTCAATCAAAAACCAGAAGCTATCCCACGAAAGCCAAATATACTTAATTCCTTATAAACTTTCGCATATACAATAATAGTTGGGTAAACGTCCAACACATTTACAAAGTCAACACATTATTGCTAATTCATATGATTTGGAAGATTATCCTGTTATCTTTATTTGTAGACTGTGTTTGTGTCTTCAAATCCATTTGGTCCTAAAGTGGATCTGAAGGTTGCTTCATAATTCATTATATTGATCTGAATTCAGGCATTGCGACGGTTAGTTATCTGACAGTTCTATCTATTTATTGGATTTTTATCTCTTCTATCTCCTATAGAATTATAGGCATCTTCGTGGAATTTATTTGTAAGAACAGGAGTTCTACTTATGGATATCAAATGTTTTTTTAATTCAATGTAGTATAAGATCTATGTAAAATTTACGTACGTGTTAAAACAAAATATCATGAAACGAATTTTTAAACTACCATATTGAACTTGAATACTATAAATGAGTAAACTATACTACATTAAAATTATTATTTTTATTATTTTATGTGGATACGAAATATCTTATATTCTTAAATATTTATTTCAATCAAATTTGAGTTACCAGATATAGTTATAATGTTATTTATAACTAGATAGATTAAGAAAAAAATTAATAACTAGATATTTTATAATTCATTACTTTATAATATTTTAAATATTATTTACTTAAACTTATAATATTTTAATTGCTGTTTAATTATTAACATCGTATTTTTATACAAAATAAAAGAAATAAATTTAATAAACAAGAAAGCAAACTTGGTGAATGAGATTTTAAACGTCATAATCGCTGCAGAGTTTTAAATTCTTAGATTTGCCAAGTAAATAAACTTATACTATTTATATTAACATATATTTATTACGCAAACTTGTATTGTAACTTATATGACTTAAAAAGAGATTTCGTGTAATTCTTATTTAGTAATGATGTAGATGAATTCATTTCAAATATTGCCTATAATAGGAAAATTGTTTAAACATAGTAAAACAATGGTTAAACAATGATTATTGTTCATGACCTACATTAACAAAAATTAAATGCTCACTGTCTACATATTCCTAATGCAACGTAAAAACCCAGAGTAAATCGAGTCACCGGCCATTATTCCAATTGATGACGCAATGTCTTAGACTAAAACTCAAGTTTAAATCAAAGAGGATAGTTTATAGAATAAATAATAAATCATTGGGTATTTTACCGTTTTATATAAAGAAAAATAGTAACAATATCTAATATTTATGAGATAGAAAAAACATAATAGATTTTTTTAAAGGGCGATCACTCACGATTCTTCGTACAGGATTTGTTGTGGTTTGCGAATCAGTTTGCGGTTTGTAATTCATATGGTAATTAAATAATTTTTATAACTACATTTATATTCTAATATTAAAAGCTTTGGCATTAATAAATGTTAGTGTCACTTATTTATAATGACTCTTTTGTCTAAAATATTGACCGATGATTAACCGTGTTTCATCCGTTTTTTAACCATCACTTTTACTGTAGGAATTCAGTTGTAATATGAGAATTTATTTTAGTGTATAAATTTTAGGACAATTAGCTATCTTAGCCCCAAAGCTATAACTTTCTTGACACGACGTACGTTTTCCGTACGTCAATTATGGAATTAGATATTTTTTGAAATGATAATTATGAGAACCTGTTCGTGAAGAGAATAATTAACAAAATATTGTTTACAAACGCCAACGTGTGACTGTTGTGTGGATTAATCTTTACATTTAGGCCTCATAATTCAAATTTGTAAAATATAATTTACGATATCGTTGATAGTTGAATATGTATTAAAGTAATAAATTATAATTTAATAATCAGCTGATCGAATATTTTTGCAACTTTTTTTGTGTTTTTTGTTATTCATCCAAAAATTACTCGAACTGAAATCGATACTCCTAATTCGCCAATTTCTCTAAGAAACGCCAATTTTACTTACATCGTGATCAAAAGTATACAGTTTAGTTAAAACGTTACTATTACTTTTAAATTATAGTAGAGAAAAGTGATATCCTCCGAATTATTGCGTCCATTTTAATCCATTTGTTAGGTTTCATAGCAGCAGCATTTTGAAAAAAGTTAGGTAGTTTCCTATGGCTTACCTCTTGTACTGGCGGGGAAAGTACCGGGCCCTCACACAAAAAAGTTTCAGGATTATACATAAAAGGAGGTTACAAATAAGGATATAAACATTATATATGTTTTCAGTCAATAAAAATATATAAAAAATATATATATTACATAAATTAAAAAGGTATATATGAATAAAAAGAGGTAAAATTTCAAAACAGGTTTCTCTAAATTTTGAATTTAATTCACAAGTTTTACTACAATTTATGCACTAATACGATATCTTTCCGTTATATATTACGTCCTACATAGAAATAAACCTATAGATAAAACTTCTGTCCAGAAAAAATCTCCAAAATATTTCATCCAATTTTAATGTGTAAAGACCAACCCTTTTTAAAAAAACATTTCTGAATAATAATGTGATAACTGATAAGTAAAGAAAGCACTTCTCCATAAAACATTTATAAAATATTTAATAGACAAAAATTCAAATTCACTGTAAAGCTTGAGTCACAACGTTGAATAATATTTAAAGGGAAAAATTAGAAAGAAGCACACAATTTATTTAGAAATTAAACCGAAGTCTGAAATATGAAATAATTTCATGTATTCGGTACCCATAAAATTACCTAACTGATCTTTACCTTTCATTTATTTTTCATTAAAACTCATAAAGCTGAGTTACATAATTTAATAATTGTATTATTGAATCCGGGATATAATTTGTGTAAATCAGTAAC